TAAATATTTATAATTGTTATATCTTCTTGATGGATAGACCCCTTAATTATGATACAGTGCCCTTCTTCATCTCTTGTTACAGTCTTTGGTTTAAAATCTAGTTTGTCTGATATAAGTATGGCTACTCTGGCTTTCTTTTGATGTCCATTACCATGATAGATGGTTCTCCATCCCTTTGCTTTCAATCTGCAGATGTCTTTAGGTCTAAAATGAGTCTCTTGTAAGCAGCATATAGATGGGTCTTATTTTTTTTATCCATTCCAATGCCCTATATCTTTTGATTAGAGCATTTAGTCCATTTACATTCAGAGTGATTATTGATAGATATGAATTCAATGGCTTTGTGTTACCTATAAAGTTGGTGTTTCTGGTGATGTTCTCTATTCCTTTCTAGTCTTTGTTGCTTTTGGTCCTTTCTTTCCCTGCTCAGAGTGCCCTTTAATATTTCTTGCAGGGCTGATTTAGTGGTCATGAACTCCTTTAGTTTTTGTCTATCTGGGAAACTCTATCTCTCCTTCTTTTCTGAATGACAGCTTTGCTGGATAAAATATTCTTGGCTGCATATTTTTCCTATTCAGCACTTTGAATATATAATGCCACTTTCTTCTGGCCTGTCAAGTTTCTGTGGACTGATCTGCTGCAAACCTGATCTGTCTTCCCTTATAGGTTAAGGACTTTTTTTTCCCTTGCTGCTTTCAGGGTTCTTTCCTTATCTCTGCATTTTGTGTTTGATTCTGATATGTCTTGGTGATGGCCAGCTTTTGTTGAATTTAATGGGAGTTCTCTGTGCTCTTTGGATTTTGATGTCTGCTTCCTTCCCAAGGCTAGGGGAGTTTTCAGCTATAATTTGCTCAAATAAACCTTCTACCCTTTTTTTTCTCTCTTCATTTACTGGGACTCCTATGACAGGAATGTTATTATGCTTTATGAGTTGTTGAGTTCTCTAAGTCTACATTCATGATCCAATACCTTTCTTTCCCTCTTTTTTTCAGCTTCATTTTCCCCCAAAATTTTATCTTCTACATCACTGGTTCATTCCTCTGTTTCATCCATCCTCATTTTCATGGCATCCATTCAGGTTTGCATCTCAGTTACAGCATTTTAATTTTTGGCCTAACTAGTTTTTAGTTCTTTTAGCTCTGCAGTAAGTATGTTTTTTTCAAGCCCAGCTAGTATCCTTATAATTGTTTTAAATTCTAGTTTAGACATTTGACTTATATCTGTATTGATTGAATCCCTGGCCATTACTTCTTCCTGTTCTTTCTTTTGGGGTGAATTCCTATGTCTTGTCATATTGTCAAGGTGAAAAAAAAGGAAGCAGATCCTAGGTGTGTTTTGGTTTGCTTGTCAAAAGAAGCTAGATCCTAGACATAAATTTATATATATAAATTCAGAAAAAAAATTTAAAAATTGCTTTTTCTGTATCCCAAGGTGGGGGGTACAAAGAAAGCTAGATCCTATTTCACCTAGAGCTGAAGCTTTGTAGCACTCTATGATCAATAGACTTGATGCATGTGAGGGGTTTGAGCTGGTCTTTTGGGTGTGGGGCCTGCTGCACTGATTTCAGATGGACTTGCCCTAGTGGAGATGCACCTGCAGGGTGCAAGGGGCAGGGCTTGGTGTAAGTGACTGTGTCCCCTTTAGTAGGCTGTTTTGCTCATTGAAGTTTGTTAATACTGATGAGCAGGTTGAAAATGGTGCAACTGGATCTCTCCTCCCGCAGTAGGTAGCTCACGCCCACCACTCTTCAGGAAGCCCTCATAGAAGAGCAAATAATCACCTCTCTTTTGTCTCCAGCTTCCACCAGATCCCCACCTTCACCCTGCCTGCATCTGAACTGTCCACCTTCCAGATGGCACAGTACTCCTGTGTTTTATCTCAGGTGGGACGCTGGGTTTCAAAACTCCAAATTTTAGATATCCAAGCAGCATGGACCCAGGCTGATCCTCTGGGGGATGGTCTCACTACACTGTGGCCAGTGCCAGCTTGTCCCAGAAATTGGTTGTATGACTGCAGAGTGGTTCAGACTTCATGGTAAAGCTCAGCAGAAAGCCTCGTTGCCCTCAGCCACCAACCCTGTTCTTATCTTAGTGAACGGGGCAGCTCAATGGCACCTGCCAGGTCTTCTGCCATGGAGAGGCTCTGACACCTCTCCCACATGCATTCCAAGCTTCTCCCTGTGCAACCCAGGGGATCTTCAGAGCACGCTGCCTGTTCCCAGGTCTCTGCCCTCCTTCCCTACCAAAGCACAACTAAGCCCTCTAGGCACGACTCCGGCAATGGCATGTGCCTCAGCAACTTCAGCCTCTGCACTCTGCTGTTTATAAACACTTGTGGTATTTAGCCCCTCTCCTTTTCCCAGTCAATGGTTTTGAGGAAGAGTTTTTCTTGTGCAATTCCCTGCATGCACTTTCACCCTTTCTCTCTCTCTCTCTTTCTCTCTTGCTCCTCTATCCGTGATCAGGGTTCCCTCCCCAGTGCAGCACCTGCAGCTCTTCTTTCCACCAAATAAACTTTTCACAGCTCCTACTTTCCACAATGTGGTGGTTTTTTTCACCTCTAGTTGTGCATTTTTGCTCTCTCAGTCCTCAGATTGATTTCTTGAGTGTTCAAAATGATTTGATATTTATCTAGCTGTGTTCAAGGGACGAGGCAAGCCTAGGATTCCCTATTCTTCCACCATCTTAACTCCTCCTCCAGAAGTCTTTTTAAGTTCTTATTTGATTATTTGACCATTTTAAGGTGATTCACATAGTTAAGTTTTTTTAAGGTTCCTTGAAGATGTAAAAGTGATAAGATTAATGGAATTGAATCATTTTAGTTTATGTGAATGACCCTTAATACATATAGAATATATATATTCCTGAAAGGATGATCTTAAGAATAGTTATGTATAGTGAATCTAATTTTGTCAAGGAAAATTTACAGGGGTCTTTCCATCAGAAACAGTATCTTCAAAGCATATTAAAAACTATGCTATAAGGGAATTTATCAGCTCACTTCCAAAAAAACCCAGCCTGTATTTAGTGTCCTCCTTCAAGGATTAATTCAAAACCCCTTCAATAAGAAATGGATACTCCAGTACAGACTGCTTGGGAGGAATACATCATGGGATACAGGAATTAGGATCCGCATCAGACAAGGATGCAGATTATTCTCTCTACCATGCTACTTATGAGTTATTTCTAATACCTTGATTAGGAAATAGATATCAAAATATGTGAGTGAGAGAGAGAAAGAGAAAAAGAGAGAGCATGTAAATATACATATACACAGATTCTTAACAATTTGTTGAGGTCAATAAAATGTATAGGGTAGTGTCATTTTGTTTTCTTTGAAACTTCAATCTAAGGAAAGTAGTAATATATACAGTGCCTGGGGATATTTAGGACCTTACCTATTGTAATTAATTGTGGTGCTCCAAGTAGATAAAGCTAGATCTCTTATAAAGCTCTGTCTTAATAAGGCTACTTTCAGATTGGGTTGGCTACAGGTTGCAGTAGTACATCGTTAATGGCTATCCCACGCGTTAGAGTAGGAGTCACTTTAAATGGTTCCACTATAAATCAGTCTCTGGCATTGTGTGCATATAGTATAGCATTTACTCTTTCACTTTGGGGAAGCTCCTGGTAATATTCTGTCTCCTCCACCTTCTATCTTTTCTACCCACCACTTCCCTAACCTTCATCATTGCTCACTCTTGAATGCTTGCCAAATAATTTACATCTATCCAGACCTGAAATGAGCCAAAGTAAGTAAAAAATTACAGGTGTGACCTCACCTGGATATATTTCCCACCCAGAGCCTCAGGGTTAGAGCATATGAAGCTAATGCTTTTTCCAGGCCTCCCACAACTAAACACTGTTTTGGTCTTTCTTATTTGGGTATCAGACCACAAAATTCATTCTGTGTACACACTCTTGGGCTTTTTTTTCTTTTTTTTTTTGGAAATAGACCCCAGGTATATTTTGCCATCAGAATATCTGTGGTGTGTGCTTTTTTTTCAAATGCATTAGTGAATATTTTGTGAAATGAATTCCAATTTTTATTTTGGGACATTTTTATGTATGTCTGGGACTCAAGCTGCTTTCTGGTCTAGCTGCAGATTTTGTTTTAGGACTATTACACATTTTTCAGCAGTCCACTAATGAGCCATTAAATGAAACTAGCTTGCTCACTGCAACCTAACCAAACCAAGGCCATTATACACACACATTGTCTTTTTTATTTCCTGTTGTTTGGAATAATTCTTCTTTCCACATACTTGGAAAGGCTCCTAAGGAGATGAATTCATTCCTTAGATTTGGCATCTTGTTAAAAAAATGCTAATAAAAATCTGAAGATTGAACAAAGGCCCAACCCAGGACAAAATGATGGCAGAGGAAGCTTGGAGTTTTGGCTCCAGCCTCCCCTTCAATGCCCTTTCTCCATTCTTGTCCTTACTGTCTTGTGACATCCTGGTCCCCATAGCATGAAAGAGAATGATCTAACCAACTCTAATTTACTAGAAGGGCACTGGTTCTTACCCAGGTTTAATTTTGCCACTCAGGAGACATTTCACATGTCTGAAGACATTTTTCGTTGTCACAGCTGGGGGAGGGGGTGGGCAACTGGCATCTAGGGGATAGAGACCAGGGATACTCTAAAAACCCCACAATCCCACAATGCACAAAATAGCCCCCACCACAAAGAATTATACTGCCCAAAGATATTAGCAATGTTACCCACTACTCTTTTTAGAGTTTCTTTATCTTTTAATGGGATCAAGAGAGAAATAAACTTAAACCTATAATCTTATCACCTATAGTTTCAGATATAAAAATGGGACACAAGACCTATCAGTTTTCAGAGATTCAAACATAGCCAGAGATTTCTATCACATACCACATAACCGCCATCACACACACACACACACCCAGTGTTTCAACTCCTACAGAAGATAGGAGCAGAGACCAGAGCCCAACACTTGCACTTAAAATCTTCTTGTTCTCTTTTATAAGCTCCTTCTCTCAATCCAGAAAGGAACCTCCTCTTGCCATGGTGGGGAAATTTTCTCTTATCAGAGGATTCTTGGGAGAGAGGAGCAAGATAGCGGAGGACTAGACGACCTAAATTTCATCTCGTCCCAGGAATTCAGCTAGATAAGGATCAAACCATTCTGAACACCTACAAACTCAACAGGAGATCGAAGAAAAGAATAACAGCAACTCTCTGAACAGAAAAGCAACCACTTTCTGGGAGGTAGGACGTGTGGAGAAGTGAATCCGAGGTGATATTCGGGAAGATAGATGGGGGTGGGGGCCTCCATCAGCCACTACCGGCAAGTTATAGAGCAGCGGAGCACAAAATCAGAACTTTTCAAAGTCTGCTCCACTGAGGGAGGTCGCTCCAGTGGCTAAGCGGGGGGTGGAACCCTCGCTGGGACAGTGTGGTCACAGGACCCTTGGGTCACAGAAAGACTGGGGGTGCCTGAGTGCAGCATGAGCTCCCAGGGATCAGAGTGGGGAAGCTGGCTGCAGAGACGGAGCCAAGGAGTGGGCTCTCAGCTCGGGGTTGCCATAAACCGTGATGCACGGCACAGTTGGGCCACTGCTCCTCCAGCAGGGACCCAACAAGCAGCAGAACTGGGGGGACTCCCCTTCCTCCCCAGGGAGGAGTGGTGCAGGAGTGCACCACAGGGATCTGCTAGGTTTGGAGACTCCACACAGGCTCGGATGCCAGAGATAGAAACGCTCAGTCACAGGCTGAGTGAGCATGGAGTGTGGCCAGAGACCAGGGAGATGGGAGTGATTGACTGCTTTTCTCTGGGGGAGCACTGAGGGGTGCTCTCTGGGGGAGCACATATGTGCATATATGCACTGCATATATGATGCAGCAAAGGCAGTCCTAAGAGGAAAGTATATAGCAATACAAGCCTTTCTCAAGAAACAAGAAAGGTCTCAAATACACAACCTAACCCTACACCTAAAGAAGCTGGAGAAAGAACAGCAAATAAAGCCTAAACCCAGCAGGAGAAAAGAAATAGTAAAGATCAGAGCAGAAATCAATGAAATAGAAACCAAAAGAACAGTAGAACAGATCAATGAAACTAGAAGGTGGTTCTTTGAAAGAATTAACAAGATTGATAAACCCCTGGCCAGACTTATCAAAAAGAAGAGAAATGACCCAAATAAACAAAATCATGAATGAAAGAGGAGAGATCACAACCAACACCAAAGAAAACAAACAACTATAAGAACATATTATAAGCAACTCTATGCCCGCAAATTAGACAATCTGGAAGAAATGGATGCATTCCTAGAGATGTATCAACTACCACAACTGAACCAGAAAGAAATAGGACACCTGAACAGACCTATAACCACTAAGGAAATTGAAGCAGTAATCAAAAAATCTCCTAACAAACAAAAGCCCAGGGCCAGATGGCTTCCCAGGGGAATTCTACCAAACATTTAAAGAAGAATTAATACCCGTTCTTCTGAAACTGTTCCAAATAATAGAAATGGAAGGAAAACTTCCAAACTCATTTTATGAGGCCACCATTACCTTGATCCCAAAACCAGACAAAGACCCCATCAAAAAGGAGAACTACAGACCAATATCCTTGATGAACATGGATGCAAAAATTCTCACCAAAATAGTAGCCAATAGGATCCAACAGTATATTAAAAGGATTATTCACCACGACCAAGTGCCATTTATTCCTGACCTGCAAGGTTGGTTCAACATCCGCAAATCAATCAATGTGATACAATACATTAATAAAAGAAAGCACAAGAGCCATATGATCCTCTCAATAGATGCAGAAAAAGCATTTGACAAAGTACAGCACCCTTTCTTGATCAAAACTCTTCAGAGTATAAGGATAGAGAGTACATACCTCAATATCATAAAAGCCATCTATGAAAAACCCACAGCGAATATCATTCTTAATGGGGGAAAACTGAGAGCTTTCCCCCTAAGGTCAGGAACACGGCAGGGATGTCCACTGTCACCACTGCTATTCAACATAGTATTAGAAGTCCTAGCCACAGCAATCAGACAACAAAAAGAATAAAAGGCATCTGAATCAGCAAAGAAGAAGTCAAATTCTCACTCTTTGCAGATGATATGATACTTTATGTGCAAAACCCAAAAGACTCCACCCCAAAACTGCTAGAACTCATACAGAAATTCAGTAAAGTGGCTGGATATAAAATCAATGCACAGAAATCAGTGGCATTCCTATACACTAACAAGACAGAAGAAAGAGAAATTAAGGAGTCGATCCCATTTACAATTGCACCCAAAACCATAAGATACCTAGGAATAAATCTAACCAAAGAGGCAAAAATCTGTACTCAGAAAACTATAAAATACTCATGAAAAAAATTGAGGAAGACACAAAGGAATGGAAAAACGTTCCATGCTCATGGATTGGAAGAACAAATATTGTGAAGATGTCAATGCTACCTAGAGCAATCTACACATTTAATACAAACCCTATCAAAATACCATCAACTTTTTTCAAAGAAATGGAACAAATAATCCTAAAATTTCTATGGAACCAGAAAAGACCCTGAATAGCCAGAGGAATGTTGAAAAAGAAAAGAAAAGCTGGTGGCATCACAATGCTGGACTTCAAGCTCTATTACAAAGCTGTAATCATCAAGACAGTATGGTCCTGGCACAAAAACAGACACACTGATCAATGGAACAGAATAGAGAGCCCAGAAATGGACCCTCAACACTATGGTCAACTTTTCAACAAAGCAGGAAAGAATGTCCAATGGAAAAAAGACAGTCTCTTCAACAAATGGTGTTGGGAAAATTGGACAGCCACATGCAAAAGAATAAAACTGGACCATTTCCTTACACCACACACAAAAATAGACTCAAAATGGTTGAAAAACCTAAATGTGAGACAGGAGTCCCTCAGAATCCTAAAGGAAAACACAGGCAGCAACCTCTTCAACCTCAGCAACTTCTTCCTAGAAACATCGCCAAAGGCAAGGGAAGCAAGGGCAAAAATGAACTATTGGGACTTCATCAACATAAAAAGCTTTTGCACAGCAGAAGAAATAGTCAACAAAACCAAAAGACAACCGACAGAATGGGAAAAGATATTTGCAAATGACATATCAGATAAAGGGCTAGTATCCAAAATCTACAAAGAACTTACCAAACTCAACACCCAAAGAGCAAATGATCCAATCAAGAAATGGGCAGAAGACATGAACAGATGTTTTTCTATTAGCAATAATCGCGCCTCGGATAAACCTCATTGGCTATGATACTGCCGCTGCGCAAAGCTATGAACAGATGTTTTTCTAAAGAAGATATCCAAATGGCCAACAGACACATGAAAAAGTGCTCAACATCACTCAGCATCAGGGAAATACAAATCAAAACCTCAATGAGATATCACCTCACACCAGTCAGAATGGCTAAAATTAACAAGTCAGGAAATGACAGATGTTGGCAGAGATGCGGAGAAAGGAGAACCCTCCTACACTGTTGGTGGGAATGCAAGCTGGTGCAGCCCTCTGGAAAACAGTATGGAGGTTCCTCAAAAAATTGAAAATAGAGCTACCTTATGACCTAGCAATTGCACTACTGGGTATTTACCCCAAAACACAAATGTAGTGATCTGAAGGGGTATGTGTACCCCGATATTTACAGCAGCAATGTCCACAATAGCCAAACTATGGAAAGAGCTTAGATGTCCATCAACAGATGAATGGATAAAGAAGAGGTGGTATATATATACAATGGAATATTATGCAGCCATCAAAAGGAATGAAACCTTGCCATTTGCAACAAGGTGGATGAAACTGGAGTGTATTATGCTGAGCGAAATGAGTCAATCAGAGAAAGACATGTATCATATGATCTCACTGATATGAGGAATTCTTAATCTCAGGAAACAAACTGAGAGTTGCTGGAGTGGTGGGGGGTTGGAGGGATGGGGTGGCTGGGTGATAGACATTAGGGAGGGTATGTGCTATGGTGAGCACTGTGAATTGTGTAAGACTGTTGAATCACAGACCTGTACCTCTGAAACAAATAATACATTATATGTTAAAAAAAAAAAGGAAGAAGATAGTAGGAAAGGAAAAATGAAGGGGGGGAAATCAGAGGGGAACATGAACCATGAGAGACTATGGACTCTGAGAAACAAACTGAGGATTCTAGAGGGGAGTGGGGTGAGGGGATGGGTTAGCCTGGTGATGGGTACTAAAGAGGGCATGTACTGAATGGAGCACTGTGTGTTATATGCAAACAATGAATCATGGAACACTACATCAAAAACTAATGATGTAATGTATGGTGATTAACATAATAAAATAAATAAATTTAATTAAATTAAAAAATCAAAGGATTATTCCAGACTTTGTGGCTCATATTGTCAACACTGTGTTCTCTATCTCTGTATCAGCCTATAGCTTTTAATATTTTAAAAGAAGCTTTTGAAATGATAAAAAAAATATAGAAGTAGAATGCAAAATATAAATAGTTTTCTCTTTTAAATGCTTTGCTTTTGCAATTGCAGTCATGTCTTTCAAAAATATTGCTTCTGCTATAGGTTACAGAAGACTATAAAAATAATTCAAAAATAAGAATTTAGATTTTATCTTTTTCTCTATCATTCCCTTCTGGATGGTCATGGCTTGAAGATGAAAACCATCACCATTAAATGGTGGGAGGGATGTAAAAATAAAGTGAATTGGGAAATACATAACTTACTAACGTAATTTATAATATAAATTTTCCCTTCTTTTTTCTTCCTGTAAACTACCACCTGGATGTTTATTCTCATCTAAATTCTTCCTTTCTAAGCAGGTGGGATTATGACTCTTTCCTGAATCTGTTTCTTTAGAATATAATGCCACTCTCACTGAGATCTTATATCAGGACCTGGATACTGGATGAATTACTCACTCCCCTCCACCTTACTTCTCCCTGCTTCTTGCTTGGTGGTTCCCACTACTCCCTCATCCTCAAAGTGTCTGGCCTCAGGAGCGTGGGAAGCTTCCCTGTGTGTAAGTCTGACTCCACAGGCTTCATTGACAGGGAGTAAATGAGTCATTGCTCAGATCCTGGCCTTGACCTAGAAGGAGAATAGGCACCAGCTGAGCCTGGCCTGACCCCAGGACATGGGCTCCATTCTCTGGTCTCCCTCCGACTTCCAGAGAACTCCCAACCCCCACCTGAACTCGGCCTAGCTGCCCATTTTTTTGGTGATAAAACTACTGTCATAGTTCCATTTTCCTACCAAAAGGATACCAGAAAGGAGACCAACTCTTAATTGTCATCATGGACATCTTCCTCCTCAAGATCCTTCTCTTGCGTTTTGGGCTAATATCATTGGAATCAGCCTTTTAAAGAAAAGCTTCAATTCTTGTCAATGTTCACAGTCTGAGATAGAATCCTAATTTTTCATGGCATTGCTCCCTTCCCCCTCTTTTCTTACTTCTGCTAATTATTTCTGGGGATTTAAAGCATTCTGTAGTATACTTTCTTTTTTTTTTTAATTTTATTTTATTATGTTATGTTAGTCACCATACATGTAGTATATTTTCAAGCTAAATATTAATAAGTCCTCTGTTCTAAAACCCAAATCTGGCTCCTCTCTGCATATGCCATCTCTCCTAGGGTCAAGGTCCTGGCCTCAAGCTGACTTGCTCCAATTCTCATGTATGGTTTGTAATAGTCCATGGTGCACAAGAATTTTTGAAATTCTGGACTGATGTCCCCAAAAGAAATAGAGGGGAAGGGGCAAATATAGATATAATCTTTTCCTGCAACTGAACTCTACCTAGAAGGGAACTCTCAGTTCCTCCCCATGGTTCTTGAATCACAAAGAAAGATGAAGCCTAGATGGGAATAAAAATATTTTGATGCTAAATGATATTAAATGATACTTTAGTGATTTTGATTCTGAATGATGTTATTTTTTTATTCATTTTACTTCACTTTTTTTTCCCCACAATTCTTTTATACCTCTCCTACCATTTAATTATCAGTGATAGCTTTTTTCATTGCTCTGCCCACAAAAGGAGAGTGAACACATCCCAAAACCAAGGGATAGATGAATTTCTGAATGGGCTTTTGTTGAACACATTGTATGGAAGCAAAAGTAAGAGCCAAGTTTTTTGGGAAGCAGGGATATTTTTGTTTGATTTGCTTGGTTTGGAGATTTTGTTTTCTGAAATTCCAAAAACTTGACTATTCTAAGCAAGATGAAAGCTGAAAGCTAAATTATAGAGTTTCAAAAATAAACAATAAAATTGAAGGGTTTACAGAATGATAATGTTAGCCATTCTCCCACCCATGAGAAAATTTCAATTAGAAAGAAGGAAGAGAGGAAGGGGAGGAGATTGGCAATATTTAGATCCTAAAGAGGATATCCCTAAGAAATAAGACAGGAGGATTAAAATTTTAGTTGTTCTAAGTTATTACAGTCCTTGTCTTCTGAGAAACAGATGCCAAGATGGGATTATAAATAAAAGAGATTTATTGGAGCAAGGAAAATTGCAGGGGCAGGGTGAGCCAAGACAGTTGTCAGACCATGATCTGGATCCTGTGAAGGAGAAAAGGAGGGAAGGAAGAAGGGAAAACATAGACTGCAAAATCTAAGAAGATTTTGGATTTTGGTAAAGTTTACAGGGAGTCCTCAAGCCAAAGTCACCCATCAGATGAGCCCTGTGCCTCCCAGGTGGTTTTCTGACCTTAATATCTCAGCCATGCTCCTTACTAACTGAGAGCAGTCCTTAGAAAGTGTAGCCTCGCTCAAATACAGTGATGCATTTCTGAACATGGCAGGTAGAGTTGGGGATGAGATATATTCTCCAGAGTCAGAGATCTGAAAGGCACGCTTTCATGATCACCACAGAAACCCATATCAGATTAGGGTAAATCTTACAGCAGAGAGGACTTGTGCTTTGTTTCTCACCTAGGAGAGTTTAAGCCCAGGAGTCAAGCCTCAAGTCTAATACAACACATAGGTGGTCAAATGCCAATGACAGACAAAGGGTTCTTGACAGATTGGCTTAGTGTAATATGATACGACATCCAAAAAGCTGTCTGGGAATGAGTTAGGGAACTCACAGGATTCGGGTGTCAGTGTGAATATGACACTACCTGATGTTGTGACCTGAGATGAGGGAAGAGACCATGGCTACCAGTTACCAGTGATGCCAGACAGTACACAGTGTCTGAAAACCAGGTGGGACTAACCACATCTCAGCTATCAGAGCACATCAAACAATGTGCACACATGAAGAGGAACTACATCACAGCAAAGGCTAGTGTGGACAAAGGAAACCTCAGTACTTGCTGCAGTAGGCATTCAGTGGTGATAGAGCCCTCAGGAACTAAGGATAGGTACAGACACAAATGTCTGGACAAGGAGGGTAGGGAAGCTAAACCAATGCTCTTCTCATTTGGTGCAGAGCAGCATTTGTATTTTTGGTATCTCTAACCTTGGACCAAAATTAGTGTTACATGATTGCTGAATAAGAACTTGATTACTTAATTTTTGGGTCATTATGTAGTTAGTGCCACGTATATACTTAAGCCATTAGAATACTAAGATAAGCGAGGAATGAACTACAATATTTATTTGCTTTTTCACACTATGTATGTTTCTAATTAGTTTCAAACTAATATGTCTGAATTGTTTGTAAGTTGTTAATAGTAAACAGATTTGGTTTCAGGAAAAAAATGATTCCAATAAGAGCTGACTCGAGTGTTTGCAGAAGAAGCTAAGTATTAGCCCTATGGCAAAGTGCTAGATTTCATCAACTGGGGAAAGAGTCCGACATTTCAGGAACTACTATAACAGTGGAAATAAATGGGAAATGGGGAGACCAAGATTCCTCCTCTGGTAAGCAAAGTTGTGAACAAGTCAAGTCAGGATCAGCAACTGTAGCTTGCATTTCTGTGGGCTACACCATTCTGGGGTTAATGAACAGGAGCCGAAATATAACTTCTCTTCTGGCTCTACTGTATTCACAGTTCTGGGGCCTCCATGCCCCATTCAAAGCCCAATTCCTCTGTTTAGATTGTATCTTTCAAGGTAAGCACTGGCTCCTGAGCTATCATATGATATCTGGTAAGTGTCCTCCACCCTCCTCCTTGCATGCAGGTGCTTTGTTGCTTTTGATGCCTCTGAGAACAGAGGAATAGCCACCTCTGCTCCTGCCTCCCTGCATGAGTTCAGAGGAAAATGCTTCTGCTTGAGAGGTTAGGAAGCTACTGGTGCTGTTTCTCCTCTTCTTTTCAGCCATATTATAAAAAGTAATATTTGTGTTGATTCATGAAGAAAGTTTTCTCCCCGGCTTAATTGAGGTATAATTGACAAATAAAACTGCACGTATTTAAGGTGTACAATGTGATGCTTTGACATGTATACATTGTGAAATGTTTACCACAATCAAGTTAATTAACACCTCCATCATCTCACATAATTACCTTTTTAAAAAAAAATTGAGAACAATTAAGATCTACTCTCAGAAAATTTCAACTATAGCCATCATGCATATCTGAAACTCCAAAGGAAATGAAATCAGTATCTCAAGAGATATCTGCACCTCCCTGTTTGCTGCAGCATTTTTCACAATAACCAAGATATAGAAACAACCTGAGTGTCCATCACTGAAGGAAGGCATAAAGAATATGTGATATATACTGAATAATGTGAGGGCTAGGGATGCCTACCCCCAAGCAGTCAAAAATATGCATATAATTTTTGACTCCCCCAAAACTCAACTATACTAAGCCACTGTTGACAAGAAGCCTTATCAATAACATAAACACTCAATTAACACATATTTTGTATGTTATATGTATTATATACTGTGTACTTACAATAAAGTAATCCAGAGAAAAGAAAATGTTATTAAGAAAATCATAAGGAAGAGAAAATACATTTACAGTACTGTACAATATTTACTGAAAAGATCCGCATAAAAGTGGACCTACATAGTTCAAACCCATGTTGTTCAAAGGTCAAAGGTGTGTGTGTGTGTGTGTGTGTGTGTGTGTATAGTATTCCATTGTGTGTTTGTGTATATATACACACACAATGGAATATTATTCAGCCTTATAAAAAAGAAAAAAATCCTGTGATTTGCAACAACATGGATGGACCTTAAGGACATTATATTAGATGAAATAAGGCAGTCACAGAAAGATAAATACTGCATGATCTCACTTATATGTTACATCTGAAAAAGTCAAACTCTTAGAAGCAGAGAGTAGAATGGTGGTTACTGGGGCTAGGGATGAGGGAAATAGGAAGGTATTGGTCAAAGAAAGGAGCTTTAGCAAACAATCTGTCTCTGCTTAAACTGCCATTGCCCATCCTTGAGAGGCTGGCTCCATCTGAGCGCAAGTCTTGAGCAGGTCCCATTGTAATGATGCACCAATCTGTGCCTCAGAGAACCTGTGCATTTTATCATCATGTGATACTAGAACATAAGCCCCAGAATGTGGCTGCACTATGTTATCTGTTCTTATAGGGATTTTCAGGAAATAGTTCTTTTCATTTTCATTCTGAGTCCTTTCTAGGATTCAAGACAGCCCCAGCGACAGACACTGTGTTGTGCTCAGTCATTCCTAACCTCAAACCTGTGGCATACTCCTCACATCAAAGTGGGTCCCTATCCTCCTTTCCCTTGGGGTAAATGCCCTGCAGATAAGAGCTCTACTCTCAGGACTCCTGCGTGGAACCCTCAACCATATCATGTGTGCCTGAGACTAAGGGTAAACATGGGCTCTGTCTGGGACCCCTGCTCCAGTTCCTTTGTCCTTTCAATCAAAATCACTTAGAGTGCTTCTTTTCCAATAGATACTAAACAGTGTATAACATAAGAACAAAAGAGTGAAAGACCTTGCCCTCAAGAAATCAAGAAGTCATATTACAGAATAGCCCTGAATGTAAATGACTTCTCTGACAATGTGCAATGGAAGGTTAGAGAAAGCAAAAATAAATTTCTGTTAGAGGCATCTGAGGAGGTTTGTGGAAAACTTAACACAGGCTGGGCTGTGAAGTGTGGTGGAGGTTGGACAAATATCGCTGCTAATGTCATAAATTTTCTCATAAGGATCTGTCTATATATAACATGCAGAGAAAAATCATGGGGGGCACATTAATGTTCTTTAAATATTTGAAAAGCTGTCAACATTGTAGAAGGAGTAGATTTATTCTTTGTAGCTCCAAAGAATAGAAGAACATTAATGGGTGGGAATTACAGAAGACAGATTTTTTTTAAGTCTTTAATTTTATCTACTTTTTAAAAAACGCTGCCTTGTGAAAGACTGTCAGGCAAATACTACCTATAAGGGATATCATAGAATAGTGGTTCTCAAACTAGCTATCTGGGAACCTCTGAAGGTCTCTGAGACCCTTTCAAAGGTGTACAATGTGGCTTCGGGGGATGACTTCAATGACTTCAGGGGATCCAGGAAGTCAAAATGAATTTAATAATAATACTGTGGTAGGCAAAATAATGCTCTCCCAATGATGTTCTAATTTCAGAAATTTGTAAATATATTAACATTATATGGCAAAGGCAATTAAGATTATAATAGATTAAAGTTGTTAATCACCTGACCTTAAAATAGACTATCCTGGATTATCTGGGTGAGCCCCATGTAATCATAAGGGTCTTTCAAAGTGGAAGAGGGAATCTAAAGAGGGAACCAGAGAGAAGGCAGTGTGAGAGGACTGGGCCTAACAATTGCTGTCTTTGAAGATGGAAGAAGGGGCCACAGGCCTAGTCATGTTGGTGACCTCTTAAAGCTTGAAGGAAAAGACAAAAAACTTATTCTCCCTCACACCCTCCAGAAGGAACACAACCCTGCCAACACCTTCATTTTGGCTCAGTGAGACCCTTTCTGGACTTCTGACCTGCACACCTATAAGACAATAAATTAGTGTTGTTTTAAGCCACTATGTTTGTAGTGGTTTGTTACAGCAGCAGGAGAAAACTTATACAGATACTAAAATATTATTTGGCTTTTCCATTCTCATTCTCTCATGAGTGTATGATGGAATTATACAGAAACTATCTGAATGCAATAATACAACAGATTAAATACAGAGCAGATATGAGAATCCAGCTGTCTTCTATTAAGCTAACATAAAAAGGTTTTGTAAATATGTAAAACAGCACCACTCTTACAAATTTCTGGAAAATACAGTTATTTCTCATAAAAAATATTATTTATCTTAACATGCAATAGGTATAGGTTCAAATTTCTG